ATAGGAAAGTAAAAGTTACAGTCAGTCTGTGCACGGTGATAGTTTAATCTGGCTATTCAGATGATGCCTGTAAAACATTATGCTTTGTTCTTATGATTTATATCAGCAGCTACCGATGATTAAATTAAAGCTTTAATATATGCTTGATATGGCCATTATTTTATGTTTGCAAGAAATATTCTGTCCTCCTAACTCCAGAGATGTACAGAAGTGCAAATTTTCAATAGTATGGTAATTTTAAAATCTAACTTGAACTGACATTGTGGATCAGTAGTATCATTACAACACAGAGGAAGACTATTTGGCCTGTTGTGACTATAACAGCTCTCTGCAAAGCAGTTCCCCCAACCTTTCCCTCTAGCTCTGCCTCTTCAGGTGCTTACACAATTCCATTTTAAAAACACTGATTGAGAAAGCTTCCACCATTTTGTCAGGTAGTGCATTCCAAAACCTAACAACTCACCGCATAAAACATCTTTCCTCGTGTCACTATTGGCAATTTTGTCATTCATCTGAAATTCGTGCCCGCTGTTTATCAATCTGTCAACCAATGGGAAGTTTCTCTCTGTCTGTCCTGTTTAGACCATGAGTGATTTTACCAAACTTCCTTTGAATTGTCCCCTCCTTTAGGAGAGCCACTCTAACTTTCCAAGTTATTTGTGTAACAAAAGTTCCTTGTTCCTGGAATCATTATTGGAAATCATTTCTGCACCTCCTCTAAAGCCTTCACATCCATCCCAGTGCCCAGAATTAGACACAATGCTACAGTTGAGGTCAAATTCAAATTTTATAACGATTCATGGTAATGTCCTTGGACTTTGTATATGTTGCATTAAATTTTTTTAAAAATTATCTTGGCATTGTTGTCTATCCCCAAATGAGTAGAGTATCAAGTGTCAATCACAAAGTGCTGGTAAAGTCATATGTAAGACAGACTGGGTACAGGTATCAGTCTTCCTTCTGTGAAGGACATTATTGAACCAAAAATGCTTACTTGTTATTTTCCTAGTGTCACATTAAAAATTACCAGATTTACTGTAATTAAATTCACAGCTTGTTATTATGCGTTTTGAACTCACAAGCAGTTGCTGAGCTAGTATCATTACTGCAAGGCTGTAGGATATCTATAATAAGTATTGGTAAACTGCATTTGAAAATACTACACTGAAAGTACACTGTTGCTATCTGATTTTAAAAAAAAACTACTTTGGCAAACAGGTAACATTAGTCAGAATACTACTGGGGTTCTATTGTTCAATCACTTAGGTAGGTGCTAAGGCAATAAATCATTGCTGAAATATAGCTCTTCAGTAACTGTAAAGGGCATCTTTGGGTATATTATTGTTTTAAACTTATTTGCGTAAAATTTAAGTATTTAGTTAAAGGTCGTCCTTTGTTTTTTTTTTGGAACATTGTAGGATTATGAAGCCTAAGAAACATACTCTTCTTTTGATTTATTATTAACATTTTGTTTAGGATTAAGAGGTGATGTTGAAGCTAGAGTTTGCTGTGTCTCCCCAATGTTATGTTTCACTTGGAAGGAAAGAAAAGAATGCAGTTTCTGACATGTTGTACAAGGGGGAATTTTAAGGATATATATTAATTCAAGAGCTAACCCTTGAAGAGTATAGGAATTCTGATTATATCACTTTCTGCAGATCAGTGGGAATTTCTACGGCTCAAAGCAATATTCCTCCATTTTAAAAGCTGCCATCTTTGGCAATGATGAAATGTAATCCATGGTAAATGCGACAGTTTGATTTGTTTTTATTCGTTGTGATATGGGTGTTGCTGGTTAAGCCATCATTTATTGACCATTGCTAATTGGGCCTGAGAAGGTGGTGGTGAGCCGCTGCTCAATGGAGTGCAAGGTATAATCTGTTAGGAAGGGAGTTCCAGAAATCTGACTGTGCAATGATGAAGGAATGGCAATCTAGTTCCAAGTGGAGGATGATTTGTAGCTTGGCGTGGGGTTAGCAGGTGATGGTGGTGTTCCTACGAATCCACTGCCCTTGATCTTCGAAAAGATAAAGATTGCGGGTTTGGAAGACGCTTTTGAAGGAACCTCAGTGAAGGCTGTCAAAAATTTTATACCCTATTATCAGCTTGGCTCTAATATTTCCTAATGTTGGAATTCACTTGTACCTACTTTGGAATTTTTTCCATGTATTTGTGAATAAAAAAATTCAAGTAACTATGGCCCTCATTAAAGCTTTACTTTCCAGTATGGAAAATCATTGGCAGTACGTCTGTTTTTTATCAATGTAAATGAAATAGGAAACAATATCAGTTACATTGACACTTTCAATTTGGTAACAAATGGCTTGAGTTTACTTTTCTCTCTGTGTAATCAGAGAAACTTCCATCCTGGAAAATTGTGCAAAAGATAACAAATTGTTCAGTGTTTAATTGGCCAGTCCTGCTTTAACACTTAAAGAGATTTTTGTTCAAAACAGAAATTGTTGGAGAAGCTCACCCATTCTGAAGAATGAGCTCTGAAGAAGAGTTATTGGACTCAAAGTGTTAATTCTGCTTTCTCTCCACAAGTGCTGCCAAACCTGCAGAATTTCTCCAGCAATTTCTGTGTTTGTGTCAGATCTTCAACATTTGGTTCTTTGTTTTACTTAGGAAATTTCAATTGGTTGCTCTTGAATTTATTGCAGTTCACAGAAATCTTTTGTGAAATTCAGTGGCTTCTGGAGAGTGCTCTAAGTATAATGTATATTTATATACCAACATGTGTCTGGAGCTTTTAAATTGCATTTAGTTACATTTAACATTGGTAATAATCTATGTGACCCTCGTGTTGCATTGCGAGGATTAAGCAATTACTAAAACAGATGTTCAGAATCTTCTGGACTCCAGGAGAAATAAAAAAAAGTATTGTCACTGTACAGTGTTTTACAGCTACTGATTTTGTTGCTGATTATATTTGTAGAAATAATGCTACTGTTATTTTCTGCTGTGTACTGCAGCTCACAGACCGATACCAGCACTTTAGGCATGTAAAAAATGAATGATAAAACATGAGTTTCATTTTCTGGCCACAGAATATGGGCACTGCTGGTGAGGGCATTATTTTTGCCCATCTCTAATTGCCTTGGAAAATGTGACAGTCAGCTACCTTCTTGAACTGCTGGTGAATTACTCACTACAGAATTCCTAGCCTCTGCAAACCTTGTAGTATTTATGTGACTCTTCCAGTTCATTTTCTGGTCAATAATAAGCTCAGGATGGTGATAGTGGGAGTTTCAGTGATAGTAATGCCATTGAATGTTGAAGGGCAATGGTTGGATTCTCTGTGATTGGAGATGGTGTGGTACATATGTTGCTTGCTACATATCAGTTCAAACCTGAATGTTGTCCATTGTTTGCTACATTTGAACACATTTTGGTTCAATATATGCAAAGTGGTGATTGGTACTGAACAACATCAGCACATATCCCCATTTCAGGTCTTATGAAGAAGGGAATGTAATTGATGAAGCAGTTGAAGATGGTTGGGCCTAGATCATTAACAATAGCACCACTTGCACGTACAAGTGAAGTGACTGACAACCTCAACCTTAACCATTTCCTTTGTGCTAAATATGACTTCAACCAGAGGAGAGTTTTCCCTGATTCCCATTTACTCCAGTTTTGCTAGGGCTCCTTGCTCTTTGGAGCTGCACTCAGTCAAAGACAGTCACTCTTATCTCACCCCTGGTGACCAACATTTTTGTCCATGTTTGGACCAAGACAGTAATGAGGCCAGGAGCTGAATGGCCCTGGAGAACCCATAGTGAGTGATTGCTGATTGATAGCACGATCGACAGCCCCTCCTAACTCTTGCTGATGATCGAGAGTCTCTGGGACAGTGTCTTTAAGGTACAAATCTGTGCATGATTGCACTCATATCTGTCTGCTTCTGATTATAAAGTGCATTTGAATGGAAGTTTGAACTTTACTTACCTCACATAAACTCACTTTAGAAAAGTACAATACTTTTCTATGTACTTTGCTGATTTCAAGCAAAGTGAAATGCTACTCCTAGACTTTAGATTTTCCCACTGTTTAGTAATGATTTTCTAAATTACTGGGGTGTTATTTTTCCATGATACTGTTTAGAGTTTAAGCAGGACAGGATACATGGCCAGTGGTTCAGGTTAAAAATGAGTTATTTTGTTGTGATGTTCTGAGTGTTCCATTTAATTAAACAATCAGGCTTGACATTTTCTCTGATTATTCTTAAAGAAATCACCATGATGTCCTTTTCTGTTTCATTCACACAGGTCTGCACTGTGTTAATCGGAATGAAGAAATAAATATAGTGCCAAGGGCAAACAAGGCCACTGCTGTGTAGGAAGCACACAGACGAACCTCAATGTATCCCATGTTAACATTCTTGAGCATGTTTTACTATATTTGCCTACGTCGTAGAGCCAGATCAGGTACAAGAGGAGAAATAATGAACAGTCGGCGAGCTATTGAGTCGAGCAACCGCATCCTACCTCTCAGCGTCGAAGTGGTGCAGTATGCCAAAGAAGTGGTGGATTTTAGTTCTCAGTATGGCAGTGAGAACAGCTTGTCCTACACTATGTGGAATTTGTCTGGATTGCCAAATGTTTACCCAAGTTCTGGAGATTTCACACAGACTGCTGTGTTCCGGACCTACGGGAGGTGGTGGGAAAGCTGCCCGAGTTCACCTCCACTATTCAGAAGGACTCCCCGAAGTTTTCATAGCCAGGAATATGTTGAACTAGTGTTTGAGGAGGCTGTGTATCCAACAGCTATTGATGTACTGGAAACCTATCATCCTGGAGCCATCGTTAGGATCTTGGCTTGCTCAGCAAATCCTTATTCCCAGACTCCTCCCTCAGAAATTAGGTAAAGGTAACTTCAAAAGTTGTGATAACTCATTTAAGTTAATCCTTGCTTTCACTGTGTTTAGTATTTTCCCACAACTGTTTCTTTCTTGAGAGACTAAGAACACATACAGAATCAGCCAAGGGGACCCAGTGAAAGTAGAATCTGTCTGTGCGCTTTTATTGAATGTTTCGGTTGATGGTCAGCATTTACTGTGTTGCATGACAACTTGGATAACAAATGTTATGTGTGTAGGTGGCACACTCTGTGTTAATATCTTCAGATTCAATCCTCATTGCCAGTTATTTTCTTTAGCTTCGTTCAAAAATATGCACATTTTAAACCCCTGAAATACAATAATTCTGCTTACTCATTCCATTACATTCCATTTCAGAAATAATTGTGTTCATTATAACAGTATTAAAATAGATTGATTAAATAGTACATAATTATTGTAAAATCAGGGTGATCTTCAGACCTCCAGTTAAACTGTGCACTAAAACCTGTGGAAACTTATAGTTTGTTTAGCTGGATTGTTTGTTAATTGATAAAGTTATCATTTTGACTTTCGTGTGTTATCGAGTACAAAATTTGAGAACAGTAATATGGTACCTACTGCAATCACAACAGTAAACTTGAAACATTTCAGTTACAAATAACATTGATGAAAAACAGTCTGCACATTATTTTTAAGAATATTTACACAATATAATTTGTTACAGTAAGTAAAACATACTGTATTAAACTTAAATTAAATATATTAAGTAATCTTGTTTGTTGTAAACACAAGTATACAGTTGTGTATTTTTGTCTTGCCTTTCATTTTAGTCTAAGGCTTTTCTTGGGCTGTCTACAGATAAAATTTAGAGCTCTACTTTTGGTTAATAGTGGATAATGGGCGAGTCTGAATATGATATTTCCCAAATCCTATCAGAATTAAGGTGCCTGTTAGTTCTTGTTTTGGCCTAAGGCTTTTACAGCATTGCAATCTGTGTTTTACCTCATGCTGTGACCAAGTGGATATCAATTACCCAGGTTAAGTTTGAAAAAAATGTTAAGAAGATTAGTGGCATGTAGTCTTGAATCAACAGTTTGAAATCCAGCAATGAGTGTACTGTAGGATTTCTCTGTGAATTGGGATTTACCATAGTGACATTTTACTGGCTCTTGAAAAGCTACAGCTGTTTCGAGAACTTTCCCCTTGAGATAAAAATGTTTGATATAGGAAGGTCTAGCCATAAGAGTACAGTAAAAGGAAGTTAAACTTTTTATGTTAACATGAATTCAGTGGAAGAGACTAGACAACACTGGGATTCACCTGAATACAATTACTTACTTTGTAAGAAATGTTTTGAAGATTAATCTATACAGCTTTTACCCCATGAACCCAGCTGTCCATTATATTTGATGGTGGCAGCAAGAATTCCAGTCAGTCTGTGAGACCCTAAAATTTACTTTTTGTACGTAAGAAATCATTCCACACCATTAGTGGTACAGTGTTAACGGAAATATTAGAAATATTTACCCATAAACAGATTTAGGGTGATACAAAGCTACTGTCTTTCAAAAAAAAACTAATTCAGAATGTTTTGTTATAAAGGTAACTGTTCATTTATCTCCAAAAATATTTTAATGCTGTAGGATCTGCATCTGTTTATTCAAAATGAGATAAGACGAGATTGTGAAGGGAATCTGAAATTTGGGTGGGGAGAGAAAGTGTTAAAATGCTATTTTATGGGCTTTAGTGTGCTGGCAACTTTCTGAAGATGGCTGATACAGAAGGACAATGTCTTAGATGCTGGAAATCTGAAATAGAAACAGAATATGTTGGAAATGCACAGCAAGTCAGGTCACATTAGTGGAGAGAGAAACAGATTTAATATTTTACATCATTTCATCTCACTGAAAGGCCACAGAATTGAAAAGTTTAGTTTCTTCCTTCACAGATGCTGGCTGACCTGCTGAGTATTTCCAGCATTTTTGTTTTCATTCCTACAAAGAGCTTTGTGGACTATAAACATGTAGAAGGAATGACAACAAACATCAGTGTGCCCTAGTATATGTATAAATTGGTACCAGTGAGATAATCTCAATGATCATGAAGTGTCATCACCCCATCTGTTACAACAAAATTGTACTAAGATACTATTTTGTATTATTTAACTTTATCACTCTAGACTGACACTCAGTAGTAGCAGTGTGTACTATCTGCAAGATGCACTGTGGCGATCCACTAAAGATCCTTAGGCAGCACCTTTCACACCCACAACCACTACCATCTAGAAGACAAGAGCAGCAGGTACATGGGAACAACAACACCACAAATTCCCCTCTAAGCCACTCGCCATCCTGACTTGGAAACATATCACCATTCCTTCACTGTCATTGTTAATATCCTGGAATTCCTTTCATGATGGTATTGTGGGTCAACTTACAGCACATGGACTGCTGCGATTCAAGAAGGCAGCTCACCACCAGCTTCTCAAGGGCAACTAGTGACAGATAATAAATGCTGGCCCAGCCAGCAATGCCATGTCCCAAAAGTGAATGGGAAAAAGCGATTAATGCATACTTATTAATGATATCAAGAGAAAGATTATGTCCCTGCTCCCAATGTTCTTGGTGTAGGTCACAAATAAAAAGATGTTGGATGAATCATTTTTAGAGTATATCCCGTAAACATTCCAAAACAATTGGGAGCTGCACAGATGAGAGGATTTGTGGACTTTAGCAGCACACTGCATTCAGTTAACGGATCTCAACTAAGTCAAAGGGTTATACATTTTGCCTTTGTAGCCTAGATTAAGAAAGGGAAGCAAAATAACCAGAATTTGTATTCTGATGTTTAACCATTCATAATGAATGCAGTGAATCCTACACTGTATCAGGATAGGATCAGGCCTGACTATGATACCTGGTCCACTGTTTCTTCAGCCCCAACACCCCGATCCCCCCCAGGATCTTCCCCTGTAACCGGCGAAGGTGTAACACCTGCCCGTTTACCTCCTCCCTCCCCAGTATCCAAGGGCCCAAACATACCTTCCAGGTGAAGCAACACTCCACCTGCACTTCCTAGAATCTAGTCTACTGCATTCGCTGCTCACAATGTGGTCTCCTCTACATTGTGGAAACGAAGCTTAGACTAGGTGACCGCTTCACAGAATATCTGTGTTCTGCTCACAAAAAAGACCCTGAGCTTCCAGTTGCCTGCCACTTTAACACACCACCCTGTTCCCTGGCCAACAGCTCTGTCCCAGGCTTGCTGCAGTGCTCCAGCGAAGCTCAACGCAAGCTGGAAGAATAATACCTCGTTTTCTGCTTGGGGACCCTGCAGCCCTCTGGACTCAATATCGAGTTCAATAATTTTAAGGCCTAAACTCTCCCATGTCCCAGCCCCCTACCCTACACACACAGGCCTTGTTATCACATAGCCAGCCATTACACACTACCTATTGTTATTCACTTACAGTCCCCATTAACAGCTAATCACCCTCCTAGGCAGATCGTTATCAATTCCTTCGTCTATCCTGCTGCTGTATCCTTTATCCTATCGTTTACTCCCCACCCCATCTCCCTCCCTATTTTCTGCATATAAACCAATGTTTTCCAAGCTACCATTAGTTCTGAGTGAGGGTCACCGGACCCGAAACGTTAACTCTGTTTTCTCCTTCACAGATGCTGCCAGACGTGCTGAGCCTTTCCAGCAACTTCTATTTTTGTTACTGACCTCTGATACCTTTGGACTGTATTAAATAGCATGGTATCAATTAGATGATCTGTTTCTCAGTAGTTTTTAATAACTTTCCTACCCCTGTGTTATAATTTTTGTTTGATATGAATAATTTCTGTATATATGTGTACTGATTCTGCTATGCGTCACCTTTTTTTAAAACTGTGTTAAGCTTGAACATGAGATAGTAGGAACTGCAGATGCTGGAGAATCTGAGATAACAAGGTGTAGAGCTGGATGAACAC